ATCTGCGCACATACCACCCTTATCTATGCATGTTTCATGCATGCATAAGCAAGTTACAGTTTTAACACTGCAATCCATATGAGAAAAATGTTTTTGGTTTCTACAAACGGAAGACATAATTTTTCGGTTCAGGCTACGTATTTACGTTAAGAATGAATCGTAGGGCAGGCAAATGGCCAAAGCCTCCCAGCCGAACTGTGTAGCGGAATTCGTGGGTAAAGGATTTATGCTTGATTAAAGAGCAGGGAATGCGCGTTTAATGCTTGGTTATAATCTGACGCAAGTCATCATCCCTATCTTTAATGACGGCTGCTGCACCAAAGTCTTCGGAACTGGAGTCCGCTATCCAGGCTTGGAGACCACGGGTGTCGTTATGTCGGAAGTTCTACTGGTTTTTAAGCAAAAGCTGAATCGATATAGCAGTGCGCGCTACAATACCAACGGACCGCCGCAAATGAGAACCACCTACAGATCCTACTTTGAAGCATACCATGGACCTCGAGGAATCCAACGGTCGAACTTCAATGATATCGATTCATTAGTGTCTTTAGTGCCACTACGACGTTGCAATAGATCGCACTTTTATATCTTTCTGTCCACGTCTAGCCTTCACTTAATAATATTTGTCGCACGAAACGAATGCACATCTAGAAAACTGTGTTCGATGAATCAAATACAAATAGACTTTGTGCCCGTCTAAAGTATAGAGGGCAAACGTGTGATTTTTAACTCATTCCAATTATGATGAAAACTTAACTATACTGTTTTTAATCCATCTGTGAATGCGAACAAGCTGTTAGAAATAGGAGAAGTACATAGGCATTCCCATATCTGTCCAGCGCCCTTGTTACTTTCAATAAAACAGTAACGCTTTGGAGAACGGTTTCCTAAGATTTTGAAAGGTGCCTGTTTTCTGATTTTTTCCTTAGTAACGCATATTCCTTCAGAACGCTTCAATTTCTAGTTGTATTAACCTTTGGCGAAATCCAACTACCCTCCAAATTGGCGAGACATCACGTCCGATTACAGGATACGAAAGCTAAGCTGCGAAGTACTATTAACATTATATCTATGGCCTTAAGTTTTTTATCGGTATAAATTAGGACAGGAAGTCAATTAGATATAATATTTAAGAAGATCCGACCGAGTTTAACTTGGATCTTTGAACTGATAAGTCACAACCTTTGGACTGTCTAGGTCGTCCTTGTAACCATTGGAAAAAGAGACAGACGTTTAAATAAAAGTAAGACGACACCATGCGTGAGATATACTTTAACGAACGCCTCATTCCCCCGGACGTAGCTAGTGAATAGCACTCTAAATAATAAAGCGGAATCATGTATCGCTATCAGTACCATGTTAAGGCACATCAAAACAGAGTCATCGAGTTAAAAATGGGAAACCGCGATAATAATGTCTACAAGGCAAAGGTACGATTTTTCATGCAGTAATATATCATACTAAAGGTGTTTCATATTTTATTTTTCGATTTCTTATTTGAAATTTTATTTGAATAAACATTTTGTCCTCTGAAGGACTAAAATGCTGCTTATTGTACAATATTGTGGTAAACACAGAATGTGGTGTATGTACTAAATGTATGTTATCTATAGTCAGTTTAGCCTAGTTTTCAGACTCCAGAAATTACCTGAATATAGAAAAACGTTGGTGTTTACCAAAATCATATGCATTTCTTCTTAATGTAACTGAATTGTTATTTCGAAGGGGCTTTCTACAATCGTAGAAAGGTCCTTTGCTCCTTATATGAAAAAAATAACCAAAAATAAGAATATTGCACCAATTTCCTGTCAACCTTCCACAAGCTAGCCAAGAAAACAGAGGATGAATACACCACGCTGCTCCGTAGTAGAAGGAAATATGTTAAGAATTTATGATGCAAAAATGTATAAACGCTGGGGCATAAATCCTATATAAAATGGAAGTGTTGATAAATAAAAGTGCGGCTTTTCAAGTCGTCATTACGTGCTGATTGGAATTGGTATCATACCTTGCAGCTTGGGTCTACAGAAGATAATATGTGCAATCCATAATTAAAAAACAAGGTACCCATGAGTGTTATAACCTCCTCATGTGTGTTTGGTGTTTTTGACCTTAGAGGCGCTATCCGCGCCAATGGAACTTAAGTTCTCACAGAGTATGCGGATCAAAATCATCCTAACTTGTAGCACCGCTGACGATTCCGCATATATTGTGTATTCGATATCAACACAACGGGGAAGAGTCCGGATCAATGGCTGAATGGCACTGTGGCACGGTGGCAGAAGAACGTAAACGTTCGACAAAACTTGAAATGCCTGCAAAGACGAGGCAAACTTCAGCGAATAACTTGTTATAGAATCGACTTATACTCCTATTCCAGGAATAGAAAGATGATATTTCCTCTTCTTTTAAGGCATGACGAAAAATATGAAGCGAGGGCTCGTATGCACAATAATAAAGTTCTTTCGCGTCACTTTGAACTTCCTCTGAGAATAAAGCATATCCTAACTATTTCACACGTGAAAGTCATTTCTACGTTTCTGTTTATCTCTTTTTATAAATGGATATTATGGAGAATAAATAATTTTTGTATAAATTCTGAGTTTACAAGCTATCTTTGAAATTTGAGATGTTCGCTTATCTGATGCATGTTACCCCGTTGGAGGAGTACAGATAAGGATGTTCGCCTTGGACACTCAGATAATGAATTTTTTTGCTACCAGAGGATTTTTAGCTTAATGAAACAATTCCATCCGGAATGTTTTCCAACATTGCGGATTTTTGAGAAGACCGTTAACAGTACGCCCTAGTGTGCTTTTCGAGAATCGAAGGAACAGGATAAGAAGGCTTAGAGAAGATTCTAGTAAAATATAGGTTAGGTATATAGACCCTGCCGGCTTGATTGAATTCTTATTACACACCCATACTGTGGAATCAGAACATAGGATGATGTCGCCTCCTAAAGCGAGGAGAAGATGTGGATAAATCTCGAAAGCTATGCTACTATTGTTAGTCCACGCACTACCACGATCATTGCAATCTATTTCAAAATATGAATATATAGTCTCATGTGTGCTCCAAAATTTAAATAATTTAGCCTATAAAATATTTTCATCAGAAGGGGCACATGAGTTTCTTAATTTGATATTACAGCTTATTATTATTTCTTCCATTATTTGGTTTTGAAATGGTACTACAAATAAAATTATGTTTGTGTCGAGATTTGTTTCGATTTTAATAACTGAAGTTTTACAATGGGCAAGTAGGCGTACATTTCCAAAAAATATATGTCTTACTGAACTCATCCTCTTTAAAGCTTCAAACGGAGAAAACTGTGTTGGACACACACAACGTTCATAGACACGTGCCCCATCAAAGGCCTAAAGCTGTATGTTGTTGATAGTTTATGCTATAAAATGTCATTAGACTAAATGTGAACGAGAATATGTTAACAAGAGGAATGACCACATACTCCTTCAGAAGATGGCACAACTCAAAAATGAGTATGGGAAAACGTGCAACGAAACACACCTATTAAACGGGTAAGTTTTCAGCAAACGCTACTAAAGTTTACTTTACAGCCTAGCCTATGAACATAAGCGGGATAGGTTGTTGGAAATTTGCAAGCAGAACGGTACTGTTATGAAAACTATCACAGAAATAAAGCTGCACGGATGCAGGGCACAACAAGAGGCACATTTTCTCTCTCACAAGAGATTATTGAACAACATCTCAAGGTATCCAGAAGACTGGTGGAAACCAACACGTAAGGACATTTGTCTTGGGAGTTTTTAACTATTTTTGTTCAAACCAAAATGTTGAAGTTGTAGGATGAAAGTTTGGAAATTTTACTTACAGTTATTAAACCAATTCAATCACAGTCGAAACAGTTTATTGGTCACGACTTGCGTATGCAAAAACTGATGAGGGATATTTGTCGTTCCGTTAAAAAAAATATGAATAACGTTTCATATTATTATAGTAAAGGATGGAACTATCTCTTTATATTAACTGGTGTGCATTTATTAATATTTAAAGTAGTCTGTTAAGCAGCTAAGCGTCAGACATATGGATGAACCTTTTCAAATTTATCGTGCACTTACTGTCTTTTAGATCAGTTAGTTTGAATCCATTTGAATGAAGAGGATTAACACCTCACTGATGCTGTCTGCATACTCTCGGGGTCATCTGCGCCTGTAACTAGAGTGAATGTATTTCTATCACTGTGAAAACTATTGCCAAATAAATGTCTTCGAACAGACCATGTCTTCTCACTCCCCTACTTCGCCATATCCGTTCTTTTCGGGCTTCTTGCTGCTCTCATCTTTACATCCTCCGTTCGTATTACTCAAAATGATATTGTTCATAGGTTGCAATGACTTCTCCACATGCTCTTGGACACCTCAATTCTACCACAGTGGCTGAAAGCCTCTCCAATCTCGTGGGCAACGAAGACCTCTGCAAAAAGCTTGATTCGAAGTCAGTGTCCGTTTGCTTCTATTTATTTTCCTGCCGGTCATTAGTAGTTGACCTGTCAACACGTATGTTAGAAATGCTACCATTTTCCTTTGAGGCTGAATGTTTTCATTTGGCGTCAAAGAATCGGGCCATTAACACACAATAAAAAATTTAGGACTGTTACTGTCACTGCGGACCGAATAACGCAGCTCCGAAGGATTGAGAGCATGCACCGTCTGATCAATAAATAACTGACGTGCAAAAAAGCGACGTCGTTTCAAAGGCCTCAAGAGGAGTCACGAGGGGGAAGGGACACGTCGCAGTAGATGGACGATAGATAAATAAAAGACCTCATAGTTATAAATATAGCATAGTAGAGAGGTGTCCAGTGTCCCCCTCCAAGTGTGGTCTGAAAGTGCTCGAAAGGATTGAATGACTTGTCACTGTGTATGCATTCTGGGTTTTATGGGACTGCATACGAGCAGGAAAATTAACCGAAAGAGTCCCAGAAAGTTGAAAAACGCATGCTAATTACGGCTTTCATTCTGAAAAAAGTTTCGCGAAAGCCTAAACGTTAAGGTTTTCGACCTTCTTAACAGACTAATGCTGTTTTGTCATTTTACAAGTGTATTTATACATGAGCACACATTTGAGGTACTGAAGTATGAGAAATTGAATAGATTCAGAACTAAATCTAAAGCATATTTTGGTATTTAAGGATCGCGATTAAGTTTTATGTCCTAAACACAGCAATTGATGCGTAATTCACTTCATAAGTGTCCCAAAAAGGTTAAAAAGGGTCGTTTTCTTAAAAAGTAGAAGTCAAAATTTATTGAAAGGTCGATTATTTAATCGCAGGCAATGATGGAAGGAGAAAGCACTGGATAAAATCCTACAAGCATCCGCAATTATTGAATGTATTAGCGTTCCGGTTGCCTCTCTTCATATTAGCAAGACTCACAAATCCATCTATTGAAGTGTAAACTAATCGGAATAGTACACGTCTAACAAATGCTTCTTTCAAAATACACAAAAAAATCATTTGAGTTATGGTGTCACAACACTAAAACTACCTTGGTGCGCTCGTAGTTGTTTGCCCGATAGAAGAACCAAAATTGATCAAAATACCCGCTACCCATCCCAACTGCAATTTCACAGCATTTTTGTGGATTACTTGAGTCTTTTCCATTTTGCAAGAATGACTGATGCGTTAGAAGAAACCAGGGTAGTTCAAACCTATTCATTTTGTTTGCAACCAGAAGTGAAAATATACACTAAGTATTCTTTTACTATTTTCCTCTTGTGTGAGAAAATGTCAAGCCAAAAGCAAGGTATCGATTCATCCATTTATAGGCGCGCATCTGAGGAGCGAAGCGCCTAATATATCGGCGGGATCCTGTCCTGCCACCTCAGTTTCAGTATTCGGCCAGTGTTTTCTGCGTGTTTAATGGGTGATGGGTGGACCGGGAGTCAGACTGCGACGGCTTCTAATCCCCTGGTTGTGTAAATCCTGATGTGTGTGTCAAGGTGGTCAGGTCGTGCTGTGGCGCGCGCAGATGGGTTCGCCGGCCCTGTCAGCCACCGCGCCTGATTCCGCCTCTGGTCCTCTAGATTTCTTCTTGACACCAGGGTCCGGTGGGTGAGGAGAGAGTGCGGTAGATGTTGTGCAAGTTGATTTCCACTTAAAACTAATTCATGTGCAGATTACTTTCCTTGCACCGCCCTGTTGTGGAGCACATGCGATGGTCGACCCGTCACCTGCTAGAGCCCAGGACGGTCAAAAAGGCAGATTGGGCAGATTGGGGCAGCAGTTATTTTTGGCGCATGCATATCCTTAAGCAGTCAACCACACTACGCGCACCGACTATGTAGACCGCGGTCTACAGATTTAGTCCACCCCATCAAGGGTTGACAGATGGTAAGGCTTAGATGAAATTTGGTTGCGTAAGGTAACTCAAACATCAGGCAGACATCATCGTCATCAGTTGACTAGTCAAGACGGCAGTGAGTAATATGCTTTCGGCTACGGCAGCT